TTTWAAWTTTTTTTTTTAAACAAACGAAAAGGAACATTGATGGGGATTCAGTATAATGTTGGCAGAGGCTGCCCAAAATGAAACAACTTGCTTCAACAGTGTTGGAACAAAGGTGCAAGTTCAAATACTAATTATAAAAATAAATTTATAACAAATCTTTTCCTTAGCCCTTTTGGTTTTAGCCCTTCCCAGTTTTGACTCTGCATTACAGTTATTTTTTACTTTTAAATAAAAGTGTAAACTTTTATTTGCCATTAATTCATCTTTTAGATGGAAGGCATTAAAATCACAGGTTTATGAAGAATCTCTGCCCATCAGAATGAAATGAGAAAGCCTAGTTTTCCTTTTTGCACCTTACCCTGCCCTCAGAGTTGAGGTGAATATGACCCAGCTATCCTTGGTGTCAGTTTTGTATGTTGATCATTCCAAAATGAGAAGAATAAAGCCAAGTTTTAGACATATATAAAGAAGCAATTAGAGCTACCTGGTGAAAATTAATAGGGCAACTTCTGAGAAGAAACACTGTCTTTTTTTTTTTTTTTAAACTGAAAGTGACAATGTGACATTTGTCATGTTGTGTGCGGTGACACGGAGTAATTTAGGTAATCTGACTGTTGCACTATGTGACATATTTAAGGACGTACTTGCTGCATTTGCAGCAGCCCTCTCTCTGTCCCTTCCCGAAATTCTGCTGTTGCTGCAACTTGAGTTAATTGTGACAAATGCATCTTTGTGTTATATTTTGTTTGCTTCATAGTTTTCAGAACTATATATAAATATATTTTTTAAATAGCAAATATTTGTCGTTAGTGAGTGATGATCACTCCAACCTTATCCCTACCATATTGGTTTCAGGGGTAGGAGTAAGAGTGTCCTTGGAAGAAAAAATATACACACAACCCTGTGGTTTAGAATGATGCTGAGGCCTTAGGCTGTGGGCCCAGAACAATTATGTGAGTGAAGTGACCCATCTCCTTTGAATCAAGCATGCATTCCTTTTTCTTATTGTACAAGTGTCCCCAGTTGTTCGCCTTCAGTGTTTAGTTTTTGTCCTTTTCAAGTTTGTTATATTTTGCTCTCCCTAACATCTGTTTTTTAATAAAAGAAAAAAATTTTAAAAATAAATAATACCCTTGATGCCGCTGGATACTCACAAGCAGGGTTAAGCTCCTTCATCTTGGGCTTCTTTGCCTAAATGGAAGGATTTCATTGATTTTGTACCTCCTCCTATGCGTGGGGCATTCCAGGGTGCAGAGCCAGGAATTGCTTGTAGTTGCACCTGCTATACCTAAATGTATAGCCTTAGGCTCAATCACACTATGGAAAGAAAAAAAAAGTATATTTAGAGCTTTAAAAGCTTTTTTATTTTTTTGTGGGGATAGGGGTGGGGTGGGAAAGGGATGTATGGATGTTAGGATGTTATTGGCATTTTTAAGTGTTCCAGGGTTTTGTTTTGTTGTTGTTAATGTTCCTGTTTTCCCCCCATTAATTGGATGCACTGACCTTGCCCAGGAAATGAAGAGATTCTCTCTTTGATGCTGTTACCAATGTTATCACAAAGTGACAGTCACCTGTAGCAAAAAGGTGGCACCAGACATGATCAGTGATGTTTTATTTGCACATGAATATTTTTATTTTTGTATTCTGGCTCAGCTGCTTCTCTGAGTGGAGTTAAGGAATGAGCCACAAAGGATTTTTGTAAAAGGTATATTGGCAATGCATTTTATATTCCTCTATATTTAATTTTGAAAATCTAAAAGAAGGATTGTGCATCTTGAGAGAAAGTTGAGTAAACTTTGATCTAGTGGAATGTTAATTTGTGCTGCTTCTTGTGCACGATAGCAGCAGTAGTATCTCTCTTGGAAATGAACATCCCATATTATGATGTCTATGAATATAGGTTTCCTTTTCTTCTCTCCCTCTTTCTTTCTCTCCCCCTTCCACCTTTCTCCTTCCTCCTTGCTCTCCTCCCTCCCCTGTATCTCCTTCTATTTCTTTTGTCTCTCTTAGCCCTTCTCCCCTTCCCTTTCTTTACTTTTATTTTTATTTTTTGAAATCACTTATTGTAAATAAGTTGTAATCCAAACCTCATGTATCAATGGGGAACTTTCAAATATAAATATTAACAATACATCTTCTGGTTGTGGTCTGATTTTTAAATGAAGTATAATGAGAATGATATGTCCATTGCTTTTAGTTTGAGGATTTTGCTTCAGCTTCATAAATCTTTGGTATTTTAGTACTTCATTGTTTTAGCAGGAGAGGGCAGCAAAAGTTCATTTTCTCTGTTAGTAATGCTGTTGTTCTTGATTGGTTTTAAACTTAGTTGTGAGTGTGTATGTATTTTTTTTTTAAAAAACAGCATCTGTTTGTAGGTAGATGTAAAAATGAAACATTTTTGATATGAAAAATTACATATGAAAATTATAGACTGGTTCAACCAGACAGTGAAGACTTCTGATCCACATCAAAGTGAAAACAAGGCTACAAAAAAATTTTCCAGCTCTGGCTAAAACATGCTACTTTTTTCCCCAAACATGATGAAATGCAAGCTGTCTTTAAACACTTGGAATTTAAAATGTTCTTTGGAAATGATTACTTCCTTCATAATGGTAATAGAAACAAAAAAGGAAGGTGCTCCCCAAAAGCAATGTAACTTCCCCTTTCACAGCTGTGTGAGAGGTTCTGTACTGTGGGTGCATCACAATAAAGCAGCAGTGAAGAGTTTCCAGGTGCCTGGCTGTTTCTGTTTGTTTCTGAAGTCATACAGATGAGATGGATTTGGTGAACTTTTAGTCACTGGGTTTGGTGCATTCAGGCTTTCATTTTGAGAAAATCAGTTCATGACAAGGGGTATGTAACAATGGGGAATGGTCCAGTCTTTTGCTGTGTATTAAACACTCCAAAAGAGTGGCTTCAAACAATGACAGTTACTTATTCTGTTCACTAATGTATAGTTTGGCAATGACTAGTCAAGCAGGTCTTGTCTCTGATCCTCAGTATCATCTGGGTGTCTCAAATGGGGCAGAAGAATTTATTTTCGCTCCCAACATGGCTCACTCAGATGGCTGGTAAGTTGGTGCTGACTTGGCTAGGAGTTTACTAGTGGTCTCAGGTCCCCCTTACAGTACTTCCTTATTGGGCTTCCTCAGTATGGCAGCTGGGTGTTAAACTTACAAGCTGCCATGCTTTGAGGCCTTGTCCCAGACAAATCTTCACCTCCATCATATTCCATCAGTCACAGCCTGAGTCAAGTGGTGGGGACACAGACTCACTGTGAATCCTTGAGAGGGTGTGA